CGCACGCACGGACGCACGGACGCACGCACGGACGGACGCACGCACGCACGCACGCACGCACGCATATATAAAAGAACGAATTATATTGATGATCAAAAATCAGGGGAAACAAAAGGAGGACGAGCTTTGCCCCACTAACAAAACAAAACAAAAACAAAGAGACACTAGGCTATAAGAACCTCCTACCTAAAATATATGCACAATCAGTTTGGTTATGCATATAGTTTGTGATACAAATTTCTATAACTTAGATAGAAGGCCGTAATTATATCCTTTTGCCCCTACGTGATGCCTTATTGATGCCTTCCATGCAACATGTTATTTTCAAAGCTTCATTTATAGCAAGTGGCTAATGCCATTTATGAAAAATATGTCGATCACTATAATCACCAAAAAAAAAAAAAAAAAAAAAAAAAAAAAAAAAAAAAAAAAAAAAAACTAAAATTTCAACTCGAGTTATGTGAATCTAAGTACTAATCCTCTCATCTTTAAACCAAAGCGCGATCACAGCTTCTCACTTTACAGCAGAAGCACGACACCTTCAAATGTGAATTTATTTATTCTGATCTCCGCCCATACATCCTCCGAATATGGTTCAAAACCATTAAACAGAATGCTGCAACATGTATGTAAATCTACATCAAGATCCTCCTTTAGGGAATCATTCATGGCAAGTCCCTACAAAGAAGCATTAACATCTATAGCAATGAAACCTTTTCACATATCATGAAAGCTGTTTCGCTTAGGATGAAACATAAACAAAGAACATACTCCTTCCACAGGTTTCAATCTGTAAACAGGTCATGTAAATATTTATTACTCAGTTTCTTAAAAAGAAAAATGTTGACAATAATAAAAAATGAAGAAGAACAAAAGTTTTCATGGCCTGATTAAGAACTATAATTATTCTATTGATTTCCTAATATGCGAATATCTTACTTAACAGTGAAACACAGTCTTAGCATTGAGGGAAAAAAAAAAAAAAGAATGTCTCCATGTCTTACTTAAAAATATTAGCAATAAAGGCTGCTCTGACAACTTTCAATCGCTCGTTGAACCTTTTTAGGCTTGCAAAGCTGTTGGATGACTCTTGCCCAAGTGGAGGCCTTCGGAGGCAGAAACTTTTGCAACATTACCTCTACAATTGTAACAGCACCTTTGATCCTCTCCCGCTTCAATAACCGAACTGCAAGCTCATCCAGGAACTCCCTCCCATCTTGAGGTGGTTCTAGTTTTTCTCTCAGAGTTCTCAAAAAAATGTCACATGTAATCACATCGGGATCACATCCTAGATCCAACATGTAATTTAAGAGATCAACGGCACGAGAGATGCTACCACCGTTCTTGCATAAAGCATTCAAGAGTATATTATAAGTGATCACATCCGGTTGAGATTCGGGCTCCAAACAAAGCATTTCGTTAAAAAGATTCATGCCCTCCTCTACCAAGCCAGCGGTGCAAAGGCCATGAATCATCGAACTGTAAGCCACAACATCAGGTTTGAATCCTCTGTACAACATCTGCTTCCACATCATCAATGCCTCTTTGAGTTTCCCATCCCCACACAAACCGTCAATAAGTACGCTATAACAAAATTCATTCTCCAAGTTATTTGCAACTATCTCTTTCCACAAAAGAATGGCTTTATGGCTTTCACTTGCCTTGAAGAAACCCCTCATCAAGGAGCTATAAGTGCGCGAATTCGGGTTGAAGCCATTTTTCACCATCTCAAACATAACTTCCTTAGCTTTATCCGGCTTCCCTTCTCGACAAAGACCGTCTATGAGTGCACTATACACGACTACATTGGGTTTGTGTCCTTTTCCAGTCATATCCTTCCACAACCCCATTGCCTCTTCATACTTACCCTCCTTAAACAATCCACTAATAAGAGCAGAATAGACATACTCATTGGCATGACGCCCTCTTTCCTCCATCGAAACCAAAAGATTAGCCCCATCAAACGCTCTACCATGCTTCACAAGCCCATTGATAATCGTCCCATACGTGACGTCATTCGGCACACACTTATTCATCACCATTCTATCTAAAAGACTAACTGCTTTGTTCAACTTACCTTTGAGACACAATCCATGGATAAGAGCGTTGTAAGTCGCCTCGTTTGGAAGACAATCCTTAAGAAACATGTTATCGACGAGCTTTGCTGCGCGTCCTATGTCCCCTTTTTTGCACAATGCGCTGATCAACACGTTAAACGTGACGGGACTAGGGAAACACCCTTCGATTTGCATCTCATCCAACAAGGAAACCGCCTCATCTATCCTATTCTCCTTGCACAGCCCATCCATCAACGTAGAATACGTAAACACATCGGGGGTACAATTCCTAAGTGGGATTTCTCTAAACACCTGGACGGCTCTATCAACCAATCCCAACTTACACATTGCCTTAATAACCAAATTGAAAGTGAGGACATTAGGAGAAATGTTCATGTTCTTCATGTTCAATATATTGTCCTTACAAACACCACTACGAAGAGCAACAACATTGGAATAATAGAAGTCTAAAGCATAAGAAAACTTATGTTCTTGGATGATAACATTAAGAACAGAGTTGAAGGATTTAACAGTAGGCCTACAACGAAAATCATGAAGCATTCTTTGAAACAAGTCAACTGCTTTATTGGGCAAATGGGCTTTTCCATAAGCTCTAAAAATAACAATAAAACACTTCTCAACCAAGACCCGTCTTTCCGATTTAATCCGATCCAAAACCTTCTCCAACGACCGGAAATCGGCAGAACTGGCGTAGTTGTGGATGAGGGAATAAAAAGTGGAATCCCCCAACTTATAAGAACCGGAATCGGGCGAAGAAGAAGATGGCATAAAAAGCTGTGGAGATAAAGGTGAGTTTTCGTCCCCATCATCCCCATAGTTATGTTTAGCGTGCGAGAATAACTGGGAAAGAAGAAACTTACATGGGATTACTGAAGAAAGCCTGGACTTTGAGTAGGATAATGTTGTTGACCATTTGAGCATTATCCAATATGCCGGAAGAAAACCAGAATGAAGAGAAGAGAAGCAAAAATACCATAAATTATATTCTTATAAACAGCAGAAAAGTAGATGCAAACTGAAAATCGAGTTGAAATTGAGAGATTCTGGGATGAGATTTTAGGAAGATGATTCTGAAACGTTGCATGATTTTGCGGAAGACGAAAAAGGAATGTGGCTATCCTTTGCCTTCTCTTCTCTTCTCTTCTCTTCTCTTCTCTGTTGGGGTTTTTTGGGGAGTATGTTTGATTAATGAACAAGAAGAAGTAGAAGAATAAGATAACGACGTGTCGTTTTGTGATGTTAAAATATTATTCAAGTCTTAAAGAAGTGGAGTTGCTCAACGATGTTTTTCTTTTTTTTAGATAACGACATGTCGTTTTTTATTTTTTATTTTTTTTTTGGAGTCTTAATACTAAAGTGAAATTTTCTTTTTTTCTTTTAATTTTATTTAAAAGGTCAACAACGTTTATATATAATATGCAAATATATTCATTATCATAAAGATCACAACTTTATGATGATAATCATCGTTACAATTAATAAAATTGAACAAAAACTCTTATAATAATTAACAAATGGTAGCATAAAGATTGCAACTTTATGACAATAAGATAAGATGATAAATTTAGGAAAGGTTGAATATTTGTGTACGATGTTCAACTACGGTCTTGATTATAGTAACGAAAATAAGATTATGAATTTGAAAAGATCTGTTTATTTTTTTATTTTTTTATATATAATATGCTTATGGTGTTTATTATAGAGAATGCTGCTTTAGATATGACTCATCGTGTTACTAAATGGCCCATCGCGTTATTACTTTGATTGCGTTGGACAGAATACCTGTTTAGTTTTGATATATGTGGTCTCCTTTATAGAACAGAAGTTAATCATACAAGTTATATTTTGAGAGAAACAATTTGATCAAGAAGCAACAGAGAAGTAGCTTTTCTCTTCTTATTCATACTACAATAGAATGCCCATCACCAACTCTATAATATCTTGTTTTCTTGTTCATAGTACATGTACACACACACATGACTGGCTCTCTCTCTCTCTCTCTCGTTTTATTTATTAACTGTGGATACCACAGAGATATAATAACACAGTTGTATCCTAGAAAGTTCAAGCAACTGCTTCAGCAGCACTGGAGACCTTCTTAATGACATAAACAGGATCTTTTACTTTCATCATCTTTCCCTTCCCATCGGCAACACGGTCCTTCCACACCATGTTCTGCCCAAAGTAAATCTGGAAATGATCGGAGTTTCCCGCATTAATTGCTCGAAAATTGCATGAATTAACACAAGTGGAACATCATTTCTTCTTTCTTGAGGCATTTTCTGTCTTACCTTTCCTTGCTGTTTTTGAGTAGGACGCAAGACTTTATCTGACCGGATTGCCTTGAGAGTTGCATTTGGCTCGGGTCCTGCAATGCCAGTCTCTTGGTTGATTGTAGGAATCTGAAAAAAAAAAAAAAAAAAAAAAACTGTTACTGGCTAGTGCAGCTCAAGCATGTGAAGAACTCAGCTCAATTGAATTAATATTTGCTCATAAAGCTCTTTTTATCCCGGTGGCCATGAATTTATATATATATATATATATATATATATAACGGAGAAGAAATATTTATTTGATCATGAAATGAAAACACCAAAACGCAGAAGCATTGATTCAAGACATTTGAAACAAAAATTATTACTAAGGATCTTCCTAGCTAGATAGAGATTCTAATACTGATTACTATAAATTGAAAGTTAGTATCACTCAGAAGCTGTAATCAACAGACAAATGCAGGATGGCAAGATTTTAGACCTTAAGCTTTCCACACAACTCCCCAGGAAGCTCTCAATTGAAAGAAAAGCTTCTTTTTTCTGATTGATAAATGGTATCATATTGATGCTTTTTTCTCCAAGTTTAATTGCTGTACTATCTAACATAGTAAAGTGGCTAAGGCCACTTATAAAAAATCTGTCAATTAAAAAAAATCACAAAAAAGAAAACTACGATTTGGACACGAGTTATGTGAATTGTAATGCACTGATCTTCTTATCTTAATGATTATAGCAGGATCATAGCTCTTCACCTTACAGCGGGAGCACAGCCTGACACCTTCAAATGTGAAATCTTTTATTTTGATCTCTGTCCATACGTCCTCTGAAAATGGTTCGCAACCATCAACCACAATGCTGCGAGTCCATGTACGTAAATATTCATCAAGATTTTTTTTTTTTTTTTTTTGGTAAACCATTCATCGTGATTTATAAGCTATGCGTGGTATGAGATAAAAGCAAGGGAATCGAAAATACTTGAGTTCCCTGAGACAATCCCTCAATTTATGTATACAAAGAAAAAAAAAAAAAGCACAATAAGAGTAGTCTATCAATAGAAGTTAGTTTCACATTCCTGAGGGAGTTCCTCAGCTCTGACAATATGAAAGGTGATACATATACATTCTACTGAGAAATGATATACTTTAGCTAATAAAAGAGATATGTTACTTGGGTCGAAACCGGTTAACTGGTATCGGTTCCTTCAAAACCTCATTCAATGCATCCATTGACCCCTGCAAAACACACACATACAGATTTATTTATTTATTTATATGTACAAATATCTTAACAAAAATCCAGTTCTAAGCTTGTAATTTAAGGAATAAGGACAGGGACATATTATGTGATCATTCACAAACCTTACCTGAGATAGTAGCATAAATGGATACAGGTCAGAAAACATGACTTTGTGGCCAGCAGCATACGTAGGATCCACAGGCCTTGTTTCTGAAGCTGAATTTAAAATAAAAAAATAAGGCCTTGGTTCTGGGACAGTAAGATTTAGCAGAAATGGAGGTTTACCAGCATTAAAGCGGACGAGGCGAGAGGGTTTTCCGAGAAAAGTGGAAAACCAAGTTGAGGCTTCATGTCCCTCGTCGAGGGCAGAGCCAGACCATTCCCAGACAGATACACCATCAGCCACTTCCCGCGGCCCACTCAGGGAAACCTTGAGCACATCCATTCCGGGTGCTTTTATCTCTGTGTGCAGCCAGGAACAAATGAATTGGACATCTATAAATATATATATAAATATACATCTATTTATGGGTAAAATTACCTAGGAAGGAGGATTGAGTTGGCTCCCAAAAAGGCTGAACAAGAGCTTCTTTGGGCATCTCAACTTGAACAAGAGCGAGCTTTGGTTCTACTCTCTGGGTATAAGCTCTCCCTTTGCTGTTCACCACTAACCATTGCCGGTCCCATCTAAATCCTATTTTTACATGTTACAACAACATACATATCAAAAATACTAGATTATTGCCCCCCAATATATATATATATATATATGTTATGTATGCGCATAAAAAGATAGAAAAATAAAAACAAAAATAACCAGTAGGAGTAAGAGGAGCTTGAGGAAGAGAAATCCCGCGACACGATTTGATTGGGTATATCAGTATTGACGACACTTTTGCTACTTCTTCTTCCGTCTCCATTCTCTCTCTCTCTCTCTCTCTCTCTCTCTCCCCTTTATTAGATTCTGCTCGTACTTCCCATTTCATTCATCTCAGTATATACGTCTCTACCCTAGAGGGTAATATCGTAAAATTACTTTGCAATTATAATTCTTTTTCTTAGAGCAACACTCAGGATTGATTGCGGTGAAGAATGGTAATAAGAATAGTAATGAATTAAAATGATAAGAAAAGATGATTTATTTATTTAATTTTATTTTTATAAATATAATAAAATGAGATATGAATATTTTTATTTTGACAAAATTACCTCTCATATTAATATAATTAATATCATATATATTAATATAATTATTTAATAA